CTTGTCCTGAACCTTTTTCCTTATTAGAGGAAGGTATTATTGCTTGTTAATGCAATGAGTCTTAGAATCAGCTATTAACTCTCCTACCTAGGAAATTATCAGTTTTATTTTCTTCCTTAAGACTGACCCCAGAAATAATCAAATGGATAAAAATAATGTATTTTTATAGTCATGGTTTATTTGTTCCTAGTAATCATATAACATAGCTATTATGAATATCATATTCATTTCCTTGAAAATGTATTTAATTCTTATCCAGAACTCCATGTATGTTTATCCTTCAGATTATTTCTCTGATAACATCAGCAGTCACTCACAATTTAACCAAAATTAGAGAGAACTCTGCTCCCAATCTAACCTCAGATATCTCTCACCTCAACCCCCAACACACACACCTACACACTTCAGATTAGTCTGTTTTATCACATGTTGGCAACAAACATTCAGCACTCCCCAAAAGAATCTGAGATTGTGAGAGAGATTTTTTATGATATGGAGCAAGGAAAGCTCACACAACCTCTTCATAGCATAAACACAAATATTCCTCAAAACTGATCCCCTGCATTTGCTTTAGCTTTTTGTATTAGTCACCTATTGATGTGTAACAAATCACCCCAAAACTTAGCCTCTCAAAACAACAATAAGCATCATTTCACACAGTTTGTCAGTTCGGGTCACGAAGTTGGGGGTAGCTCCCTGGGGACTCTGGCTTGGGGTCTTTCTCTCAAACAGGCAGCAATCACAGTGTCACCAGGCTGCAGTCACCTGCAGGCTTGCCTGGGGTGCAGGAACTCTGCTTCCAACCTGGCTCTCTAATATACAAGGCCAGCAGCGCAACATGGCTGTTGGCAGGAGACCTCAGTTCCTCCTACGATAACCATGGGGCTGTGCCTGTCCTCACAGCATGGCAGCTGGCTTTGCCCAACGCAAGTGATCCAAGAGAGAAAGGCAGAAGCTACAGTGTTTTATGACCAGTAACCTTAGAAGTCACGTACTACCAATTCTGCAAAATCTTATTGGTAACATAGGTAAGCCCTGCTCAGTGTTGGATGGAACCACACAAAGGTATGAATGCCAGGAGGCAGGGGCCATTGGGGGCATCTTAAAGGCTAGTTATCACGTTCCTTATGTCACTCTTTCCATTAGAAAGGAAATAGAAATTCCTTGAATAAGTAATGTGACCAATCTATGGACCCTGAGAAAGGATATTCCTTATTATTAAATTTGCATTCTTTGTTACATTCGACTTGTGAGATATTGTGTCAATAATCACTAAAAGTCTTATAAGCTATGGGCACAGTGAGAAAAAACCTCCTTCTAGATAATTCTTGTGTTGCTATGCTGTGCCAAGCACTTTGCTCTTCCTGGCTCTATATTCTTTAATGTAATCCTGTGTATACTACTGAACAAGACCTTCCACTCAGACCTAAAGGGCTCAGGCTCTGTTCTGACAAGTGACTGCTGAATTATTTTAGGAAGGGGATAGACTAGGTCATGTTCACATTTTTATTAGGTTCAGGATGGATCGGTGGTAAGGAGGGAGAGGGAGCAATACTGGAGATAGTCCCTTTATCACAAGCTTCACAGTTCTCAGCTCTCAATGATTCCTAATTTCCTCATCAATTAACCTGAAGCTCTGCAAATTAATTCTGCCTGAGCAATGGTGTGTGCTGGTAGAAGCTTAACAAACAGCTTTCAAAAATAAAGAAAGGAGGGAGGGAAGATAGGAAAGGATGGATGAAAGGAAGGGAGGGAGGGATGATTGGAGAGGGGAGAAAAAAAAGAAACAGATTCTACCTTGTACCATGTGCCAATGTCTGTGGCATAAATACTTCCACCATGGCCAACTTCAAGTTACTGATGTCACTGAACAAGGAGTTTGGAAAAGATGTGCACAACCGACAAGTACCACCTGGCTCCAGTGGCCGGGAACAGGTTAGCAGGTTGGGAACACAAGGGACCGGTTAAGCCAAAGCCCTGGCTTACACGGCCAGCACGGGGGAGGGTGGGCTTCCTGCCCGCCCGCCCGAGTGGGGCTGCAGGGACCTGCGCCTCCCCACTCCCTGCAGCAGTGTCCTGGTGCCGAAGTCCCCACCTGGACCTTCCAGACCAGAGGATTAGCCTGAGAGTGAAGGCAAGAAAAGAGATGTGGGGCTAGGGGATACATTATTTTAATATATAACTGAATTATCTTTTGGCGGGGGAGGAGTATCGCATGTGTTAAAACTTCTTGAGGCACCCCAGCTGGAAATCACTGATGCAGAAGCAGGTAGAGAGGAGGAGGGCCTGGTCCAGGATCCTCGGTCAGCGTTCTCACTCACCAGCTGCGTCATCTTAGGCGAGTCCACAAATTCACCCAAGCCTTCGTTTCCCATCTATGAAGTGGGGTTGAGAATAGCATCACCCTTGCGGCAACGTTGTAAGAGTTCAGTTAGAAACCGTATCCGGAAGTGCCAGCTAGCATGCAAGAGATACAATATTTGTAATAATGATGGGCACCCCGCATTGCTCTAACTGAATTATCTTGATTTACTGAAAGTATCCTTTCAAACTGATGAATGTGAATCTTGGATTGAAGCCACTAGATATAAAGTAGTTGAAGTATCAATAATGCCTTTTCTCTTAATGAAAAGTCACCTCTTTTCTATGAAGTAACCCCCTCCCAGAGACTTGAATACATACTCTTTCCACAGAGGAGTTCAGTGAACAAGGACTCCTCAGAATCACGATTACTAGCCTCTTGCTAACAGGACTCGGTCACACTGGGTTTTTCATACAAAATACAGTTTTCTTCTCCTCATTCACCGCCTCACTTTCTTCCTTACAATTTGAAGAATTTGTTTTATAGGACAGTGTGGAATTTGGCACATTTCCAAACAAACTACAACAAACAAGCTCCAACTTCCTGTTAATAGCAGACTAGATGTGAACCCCAGTGCTGTGGCACTGACGTGGAATGGTCCTGGGCTGGAGGACGGCAGTTACTGCAATAAACAGCTCTCCCTTCTTCTCCACTCATGTACATGAACACATGTTGGGAAATGCCTTGTCGGGTTTCAGGGACTGTAGCCCCGCCGACAGGCAAGAGGGCCCCAAGGCTGGAGCTAATTGAGGAGGCCTTGGGAAAACAGGCCACTGAGGAGGCAAAACCTGTCCCCCTGGCAGGGACGTAACCCCTGCCTCCCTCACATCGCCCTGCTTGGCCCTGTGACGGTTGGTAGTCAATGATGGGTAAGAGTCCTCAAGAAAAGGGACAACCTAAGGCAAACACAGCCAGTATGGGCAGCAAACAAGGACTTGGGAGACACGGACCAAGGGCAAACAGGCCCGACCCCTCGGCTTGGCTTGGACATGGCGGGGGGCCTCATTCCGTCTGAAAGAAGTCTCGTTCTCACTTGGTGGTTCTGCCCTGCTCCCCTGGCTCAGGCTTGAAACAATACTAAAGGCAGGTACAGCCCCAAACTGGATCAGGCGGTTCAGGGGACAATCAGACCTAGAAGTAAGTTCCTTGAAACATGCTTTGTTCTTCCCTCAAAAGCTATGATAACTGAGATTTACATTATTCATAGACCCTGACCTGAGGCAGATCTCTTGTGCTCCTTCAATTGTTATCTATGACCTCTATTTGTTTTCTGTAAACATAGCCTTTTGACATTGATTGATGAGCTTTGCATCCATTCCCCTGTGCATATGGTTCTCAGTAAAAGCCTTTAGACACGGAGGCTCAAGGCCTTCTCCACTAGAGGGAAGAGCCATGCCCCCCTCTCCTGACAGAGAAGGGTTTGCGATGACTCATGTTGCTCCCCCCCATCCATGACAACCCCGAGATGGGCTCTGTGGGATTCAGAGCCCCGCTCCCTCCTCAGCTGGCTCTGGACAGGAACCCTCAGATCCAGGAGCACCCCGCATGGCGGTCCCTGCACCAAACATACAGATTTTTGCTTTATTCACTGGGTTGTAACCCATTACTATCTTTCATTCTGATGCTCAGGTTTCCCAGGTTTGGCCATCGAGGACCTCTTCAGGCTGGCTCCTATGTACCTTGGTAAGCCCCCATCATTCTTTGAGCATTTCCTTACTTTCTGTAAGGAACATCATTCTTTGAGCGTTTGCTTACTTTCTGTAAGGAAGAACAAGATAAATTGGGCTCATCCTGTTTTTTCCTAGCTCAGGATTAGAATCAGCCTTTTCTCCAAGGAGTTCTGTGTGGAGTGTATTTTTAACAACTGGTCTTGAATAGTGGTCGCAAGTAATCTGTGCTTCTCATTTCTGGTTGGTAAATCGGTCTCCTGTGAATTTGGTTAGCATGAAAGGCTTCTCTCACATTTAGTCACCCTCAGTGAGCCTGAGCAGCTGAGAGGCGGACTCTGCGTTGTGGTGTCTTAGCATCATCAGCCTGGGACGCCCAGCCTGAGGCAGCGTCAGATTTCCAGTGCAACATCCGGCTCTGCCACCTGAGGTGCCGGGGGTTCAGCGAGGAGTAGGTGAGAACTATCCCCAGGAGGCTGTAATCCAAAAAACTAAAAGCTCATCCCAGGTTTCAGAAATTTTAAGGTGACTTACCTGTCAGTACTACTCCTCCTGGTGACCTCAAGTTCTGTAGAACAAGGAAAGGTCCTCCGATTTAACCACTTGATAACCGCCAATCTCCAGAATCACAGACCATTAGGTCACTCCACTCAGGAGGCAAATCTGGCACTCTGATTCCCTTTAGTGCTTTTTCGTGGACTGTTGAAACAGTAAACTTACAGGACCACTCTTAAAAATGGGAAAAAAGGGTCTTGATGCTTCTGAAATAATAAATCCAGTTTCCAATTCCTTTCCAATTGCTCTTCTATACAGCTTTAAATGAGGTTGTGTCTTTTTTAATTAGCATACATTTAAAAATATTTTTCAAAATGTTGTACCTTAAAGCATGGAGGAAAATGAGGATAGAAACAAAAACTTGTAAAAATACATCTTTTAATAACATCAAGAAATACAGTGCAATTTTATCGAGGTTTTACATTGCAGCTTCCAACAAACATATTATCTATTACAGTGAATATTTACAAGTCAAATAAACTTAGGGTTCTTTCCTCCCATGACAGGACAAACCAAATCTGGTACATCATACCACATTTAAGGTTTCTTTTCAAGCTGGCTTCTATAAAAGGCCCTTAACGTTAATAGTTCGTGACAACAAAAAAAGATCCCCCATCACAATGACATCCTGATGAGTATTCAAAAGTTACAAAACAGAGTTGTGAATGCTTGCTTTCCTCTGATGGCTTTAAAGAATAGCTACTGATAGGAAATAAGAAACACTAAAGACAAAAAGGGAAACAGCTGTTTGTGCTGTCTAGTTAATCTATAATAAATACTGACTTAAGGCTACAGATTATGAGAAGAATCCAAAAGATTCTTGTAGGAAAAGGTCAACATTTATATTTATGATCCCATGGGCTGAAAACTCTCTGATGTATTAATAGTTAAGTCTACTTTTCTTCAACATTGTTTATACAAAGAACAGAGGGAGGGTGGAATTCTTGACACTTCTGGACAAAGTTAGTGAGACAGGGGACTGAAATGAATTAGCAAAGAGGGAAATAAATATTAATCTCAAAATTCTACCTGCCACTGTCTTGGAATGATCAAGATTTGGCTCAATCTGAGAAGAGTTAAAAGGAACAGAACTGAAGAACATCAGGAGCTGTAACTAAAAACCCATAGTTCATGCATGCTTTCTCTGGATGACATTTAGAAATTAGAGACCTGGATTTACTTGCTATATACATAAACTAGTACTGGAATTAGGGGGTGGGGGCGGAAAAGTACCACTTACGTCCACAAAGTACCATAATCATACTCAGATTTGCAAAGAGGCATAAGAATCTGTTTACCATGCAACTAGCCATTTGTGGAATGCTAAAACAGCCCAGTAATGGGTAATGGCTACTAGAACAAAATCCTTACACGCACAGTACTGAGGTGTAGCAAATGATACCAATTAAGTAAGCAGCTCAAATTCACAAGGGCTTTACCCAAAATCCCTGAATTTCTAAGCATTAATCTCAGTGTCAACATGACTTCATCTAAACGTTAGCCCAAAGAGATTTTAAATACTCCTCCCTCGTCAATACATCAACACAATTTCAGAGGTGAAAAATAAACATTTAATTTCTCTACCACTTTTTCCTATTCTTGTGAATCTTATATAATGTTATAACAGTGTCTAGGCTAAGGTAAGTCCTCTAAAGGACCCAATAAATTGGATTTCTAGGTTCCAGAACATTGCTGGCATTGTTCAATAAACTTGTCTACCAGAAAGCTATGTCTCTGGTTAAAATATATTCCTGGATCAGTAACTGAGGAGTTAAGACCAGCTGCCAATGAAGTCAAACTGTTCCCTCATTGTCAGGTAATAGCTTGGCCTTCTCCATTAAAATTTCTTAGTGAGTGGGACATGGTCTCATACTTTTCATGCATCCTCTACAGCACCTACTAAAGGGTTGGGCATAGATACGTGCTCAAGGAAACATTCAGTGATGGGGGCAGGAACTGAGTCAAGAGGGAATGTGGTCATGGTGAAGCCATACCTTATTTCACCCATCACTCAAAAGGCACTCAAGAGAGAGAACCTCTGATGTTTGTCACTGAAGAACAGGTGCTTGTCCCCTGCCACTGTCTAAAAGGAAACAAACCGCTTCAGTCTCTTTTTCTCTTAGTCACTAAGAGGTTATGCATGGGCTTAAGTACCACTTGGTGGATGGTATCTGTAAAAAAAAATGTTTCTCTGCCTCAGAGGAAGCACCAATCCATCTCATGGCACATATTAACTCCAAGAACACAATTTATAAAATTAACTCTTAAAATTGTTAAATGTCATCCCTACCAATGGATATTTATAATGTTAGGCTTATTTTCTCTACTATCATTTAAAATGTATTTTATTTTTAAACACTGGCATGAGGTAGAAGATAAGGGACTCAAAAGAAAGTAATCTTCAAAATATCAAACTCTATCCAATACAGTTAGCCCCAAGAGAGAACTAAGGAAAGTCACAGCCTTAAGCTGGTAGTCTAGTTTGACTACTGTAAAGGTATCAATTACCCTTACTTGAAAAGAAATTTATTATATCTGAAATTGCCCCCCCTTTTTTCTTTACTGGTTTAAGATATTATAGAAAAAGGACAATACACGTTCTGAAATATTCATAAAGATCATCTACAACAGCTTCTCTTAGACATCATTTTTTACACTATTATGTTGCTCTAAATCATCTCAATTGAGACACGGGTCCTTTCCATGTGAATTACTGATCAGGTATCAATATGGAGGTTAAAAGTCCTCCTAGCATAAGAAGATAAAAGGAATGATTCACATTTAAAATAATGTATCTTCCATAAACTAGCAGCACTTCATTCTACCAGGACATACAAATTTGGCTTCATAGACTGCTCAGAAACAAAGGAAAATGTGTAACTGTCTGAAACAGCTCCTTGAACAAGAGAAATGTGACGCTAAAAGTTTTAACAACTATTTCTCCATTAAGTGGTGTGTGAAACTACTGGAATGTCAATTTCAATGGCAGAGAGGCGGGAGCGTGCTGAATAGGGCTGTGAGTAAGTGTGCATACTAGGAGGATGGGAGTACAGTGGTTGCCAGAATGGAGAAGGCAAAGATTTGCACGCACAATACCAAATAAACAGTAGAAGGGAGGTCATAAACAGGCCCCCAGCACTAGCAATTGTGACATACACTGCGTAGTCAAACGTAAAAACTGGCTCAAACTTCCTGTTCAGATGAATGTTGTAAAAGAAGACCCAGATGGATGGGGAGAGGCTCACAGTACCTGCCAGGAAAAACAGCAACCCGGCCACCAGGTGGCAGCCTGCACTATTGACCAGACACTTGGCCAGTTTGATGTTGGGCACCGAGGACCTGAAAGCCGTGTTACACATTCCAATCAGGCAGAGCAGCAGGGCACCCATTGCGATCAGGATGCTGAGGGGTAGAGCAAACTGGAGAACACGCAGGTCCAGCTGGTCAACTGATGAGTACCAAGTAGTGTCGTACATCAAACAGTCACTGCTCCCGTCATATCGCGCGCACTTGACCCACAGGCCTGTGTAAACAGTCAGGTTCTTTTCATTTTTGTTGAATGTGATCAGTCGTAATTTTCTCCAATTGGGAAGCAGAGTCCCCGCAAAGAGGCCGGCTACCGAGGCGATTCCACACAGGAAGGAGAGGACGGTGGCTGCATGGACATCCCGACAGCCCATGGCAGGCAGGCTGGTGCAGCACTGGCAGACTAGGGGGGGACACACAAGAGGACAGATCAGGAGGGGGCTGTAAGAGAGCTGACTGGCAACATAACTAAGGATGCCACTAAGAAGAGGAAAGTCTGTCCTTATAGCCTCTATATGTACAATAGAAATGTTTATAAATACATGTGTGTGAGGCCTCAGAGTACAGGTACACACACATTTGCTCACTTACCACCGACTGGGTCATGTAGCAACTCAAGTCTTTAGCCACGAGTGTTTTTCTTCACAGTGAATCAGAGGGACAATGAAAATAATTTCAAATTCTTTTAACATCACATCCAAAATTCTTTTGGTTGTCGATAATCATTTAACATGCATATTTTAAGTACTTTCATGTGTCAGGCATTCAAATACATAGTGAGGGCATTCAACAACCATCAACTACAAACACCACAAATTCAGCCTCAAATGCTCATGCAAATGTAAAATGAGACTAGCACACAGCAGAAGTGAAGGCGGCTCTAAAGACAAAGGTGCAGGAAAAGGAGCACTCAGGGCAGCAGAGCGGTTGGGGGCAAATGCTGGGGCAGATGCTGGGGCAGACTGCTTGGGTTCTAATGCCCACCTCCTCACTCACTAGCCCAGCAAGCTGAGCTACAAACTTTTATGTGCCTCATTTTTCTCATCTATAAAATGTGAAATGTAACAGTGCCTACCTCACAGAATTATTGTAAGTATTTAATAAGTTAATATAATATCAAGTGCTTAAAACATGTCTGATGTATTGTAAGCACAAGGCAAATGTTAGTTAATTACTTCTCAGTGACCAGCTCAATGCTTGGCATACTGGAACAGTTCGGAAAAGATTTGTTGAATAAATGGTAAAGAAGAGAAAGCAAACATCTCATTCTTTTATACTAGGCACACTGAATAATTACAAAATGTAAATTAATTCCTCTCCAATGAGCTTGCCAAAAAAAAAGACAAGAAATAGGTCCCTGAAACCATTCTGCTCAGCTACTTCCTGGCTGCTTCAAGATGACTTGGGTGCTTCGCAAATTACTATATTACTGGTTATTGGTTATTATATGAGTATACTACTACTGGCTATTATACTATTACTGCTCATGTAAGATGAACGCTAAAATTTCTGAAGTAATGATAACCTATTTCTATTAATGTATTATAAGGAAAAGAAGTAGCCAGGCCTTTCTCTCATCCCAAATTAAAAGGCTGTGTTCTTTTTCTGTATATGACAAAATATAACCTGTACCTTATTCAGTTTTAATTCAAAGTTTGAAATTCATTCTCTAAGTACCATTTTTTTCTCCGCCTTCTATCAAGCCCCTACAAGGCAAAAGAACATACTACTATAATAAGGTAGCATATTTACTTCTTTTAGTAAGATAACGATGAAGCAGCAAGGTTGAGAATATTCTTACTTCTGGATATAGTACAGGCTTACAGAATCCATCATCTTTTGCAGGGTCAAATATTGGCTAGTGAAGATGATGGAGTATTATTCCCAAGAGTTCAGGGGTCAGAAAGAAAAACATGACCAAAATGCTATGAACCTGGGTTAGGACTTGACCAAATGTGTTCAAATGAGAAGATCAATGTTCTTTGGAAAATAATGTATTTGCACATTTAATCTAATCATATAAACCAGAAATAACCTTAGTAGCAGAAAATATAGGTATTTGTACACACGAACTATATACACACATATAAAAGTATACAACATAAAATCAGAGTTGAAGCATAAGTGACCATATTTAAAGTCCTCAATTTAAGCACGATTAGTTCTAAGTTCCTTCATTAATATTAGTTTATTAGTTGTTTATTATGCTGCCTTCTGTCAATGTTACCAGAAGTAGCAAGTTTTAGAAAATCTTACGGATAAAAACAAGGAATTATAGCTATTATTATTATTATTATTATTTTGTGCAAACTGGGGGAAAAAATTGTCTCACTTCAATTTAGCAACCAATCACCTTGGTCCAGCAGTGGAAACTCGAGAGCAGGTTTGAGAATATTTATACTAGAAAATGTGACTAATGAAACTGAGGGTCCTTATGACTTTGATTAAATTTAGATTTAAATTCTACCGCTAGAGGTCATATCTCTATCTCCCCCCAACCATATATATACACATACATATATCCATACCCCTCAGAGACCTAGCCTTTTCCCCAGCAACCCCCAAGGAAGCAGAAAACAGTACCGTGGACCTGACCAATGATCACAGCACCCATACCTCCAGCAGACTAAAGATAACATCTTGAGCTAAGTTATGTTTCAGCTCCTGAACCCTAAGGTGGAATGACCCTATGGCTACTTTCCCATGAACCAGATAAAGGGACATCAGGACAAACCTCAGAACTGTCCTCAAGACTTCAAGAAATTATTTATTACCCTTCCCTCACTTCTAACCAATCAGCTCCCTGCATGACCCCAAACCTCCTAACCCACTGGTGTCTTGTGATTTTGCCCTTCTAATCTGTAACCTACATGCCACTGGGGAGTTTGAGCTTCTGAGCATCAGCTTCCCGTTTTCCTGGGTGGCGCCATTCATAATAAAATCCACAAATATTTCTCCACTGCAATTCCTGGTGTCTAGTGTTTGGGTCTGCTAGCACCGGGTGGACAAACTCTTTTCTGTTCAATAACACTAACAGTGTCAAGCTCCAGAATTTGGCTTCCTGTTGGCTTTTGCTCATGCACCTGTCTCCCCCATACACTGTAAGCAACTTGTAGTCATTCAAGGAATATTTGACCAGATCGGGCGCATTCAGGGTAGTATGGCCGTAGACATCGAAGAATATTTGAATAAATGAGTACTAGGCTCTGTTCCAAGAACACGGTACTCACTAAGTCTATCAATAATGTAGAAATGAACAAGGGAGTACCATTGCTGAGCAATCATTCATTCAACAGGGGTCTCCCAAGTATTCAGCACTGCGTTAGGTCCTAGAGGAACACTGAGGCCACCAAGATCTGGACCCTGCCCCGATATGTTAACAGTCAGACTGAGGGAAAGAATATGCCATTTTATAAGAACTCAGAATACTGCTAGTGATTCAGTTGGATGATTACTACATATCAAGCAATTATCGTTCGGTACTAAGCAAGTGAATCAATAATGTACTCGTTTATAAAAATGTATCATCCAAGATTAAAGAAAGACAATGATGATTTGATTAAAGTTGTGAAGGTGTAAAAAAAAAAAAGATGCTTCTGTTTCTTGCAAAACTTCAGAACTCCTTTAGGTGACCTATTCAGAGTCCAAAGCCAATCACCACTGTTTCTTGCTTTCAGAGGTGGGGTTCAGATACAGGGAGTAGCAATGTAATTGAGATTTCTCCAACCAATCTGCCCTGTACCACTGGTTCCAACAATGCAAATGGAATGAGAAAAAAGATCAGGATTAACAACTTTACTATTAATAAATAAATTCCTGTACTTCTTAGCCTATAGACTATCAAAAGATGCTAATGAACACAGGTGGGTTAACATTTATTTCAGTATAAAGTGTGTTCAAATTTATCCTGCATCAGATCAATACAAGTGATATACCAGTCCCCTGAAACTGCTTTTGCTGAAGCATTCTTAGCTAAGATCACAGAGATGGCCTAAAAGGCCTATTACAAAGCCAAAAAGAATGCAGCACTCTTTAGAAAGGAAATACTGTTGACTTCAATTCTTTAGCTGAATTTCAATCTCAGTGCTGGAATTAATGTTCTTGCTCTTGGTACCTTTCTTTGGCTGCTTTATTTTTTATGTTATTCTTAGCTCCATATACGCATGATTTGATAAGTCCTATATCCCACTAGAGGGATTAGTAACACTTTATAGGGATAGCTGGGGGAAGGAATATGTTAAGTGATTTAAAACTGAAAGATATTGCCCACTCTCGTTAAGGTCTGTTTGTACTGAGTGTAAAAAGACCTCTACTCTTGCGCTACACACCAACTTATTTTGAATCATGAAAAATTTTTTTCAAATGCAAATCTGATCATTCCAGTACATTTCTTACTATTCAGTGACTTCTTATTTCCCTCAGAATAAAGTTTTTAAAGTTTCAAATCCCACCATTTGGTTCCCACCGAATTCCCAATCTCCTTACATGTTGCTCTCCCACCTTACTCATGGTGGTCTATATAGTTAAGCTGCTTTTCTTTTCACTTCTCAAATTTTCCAATTCTCTAAATAAAGATGTTACTTACTTTTAGAGAAAGGAAAAGGGAAGGAGAGAAACATCGATAGGTTGCCTCTCTCACACCCTCAACTGGGGACCTGGCTTGCAACCCAGGCACGTGCCCTGACCGGGAATTGAACCTACAACCCAGATCACAGGCTGGCGTTCAATCCACAGAGCCACATCAGCTAGGGCTAATTTTCCACTTTTTAATTTTGAGAAGGTCTTTTCCTCATGCTATTCTTCTTCCTAAAACTTTCTTAATCCCATCCTATTCTTTGCTTAGCTAACACATATTCATCTTTTTGGTTTCCAGTTTCCTGGCCCTAACCCTGCTGTTCCCTCCCTTCTCTTTAATCTTCCCCATGCCCCTAGTTAAATGCTCTGGTAGCACTTTGTACTTTTTCTTTGGTAGCAGCAATTGTGCTTATTAATTCTTTGTTCATTATTTATCTTTCCCACCAGACTGTAAATTCCAGGAGGACAAAGAGCCTTCTGTTTTATTCACTGTGTCCAACACTGGCGCATAAAAGGCACTCAATTATTGATAAATGAACAAACAAACAAATGAAAGGTCCATATGATATAGTCACAAGGCAGAGAGAAAGTAATAAATTTGCTCTATTACCAACAGTCTGATTCATTCATACTGTTTTCTGAAGCCACCAAGCTTCTTATAAACTGTGCCCCTGCTTGCCACTCTTTATTGGCAAAGTCTTTCCTATTTTTTTTTAAAACAAAAGTTCATTTTCTTTCCCTAGAAACTTCCCAGGAAAAATGAAGCCATTCCCAGGTATTTATAAACAAACTGTGTTTCTAGAAATGTCTAAGTTTGGCAATGCTGATTAAGTTCCACAGTGGTTAGGGAGTCAATCAATTATGACTGTGTTGTTTATGTTTTCAACTTAGTAAGTATGTTATGCTTTGTATATATCCCCCTCTTCATTATGAGTGGGTAATATATCAAATTAATGTTTGCTTATCAAAACTAAATAACTTATTATACTTGTATTTATATTTTCTTTTTAAAATAGCAATGGAGGAAAAAAATAAACATCTTTTTGCCTATGAAAAACCTTATTAAAAAACAAACATCTTTTTGCCTTTGGAAAACATGTAAAGCTAAGAACACACTTTAACAGATCTCATGAACACTAGCTGGGAGACAGCTTGAACTGGGATATATATATACCTATTATTTCCATCTGAGAGCAGCCTGGCATTGTAGCCCAGGGGGCCAAAGACCAAACTGGACAAGACATCTATGTCCTCTGAATCTCAAATACTCATCTGTAAAACGTCCCCAAGGTATAATTGTAAGCCATGAATAGTAAAGCCCTTCGTAAAACAGAATATGGTTAGAAATTTAAGTTTGTAATGATTATTAGTACCATTTCTTACTTTTTTTAGCCAGAAACACGCTTTTCTTCTGAACTATCAGAAACGACCACAGGTGATTATAGCCATTTAACAAAGAAAAAGAGCATTCTGTTCGGACTAGTTACTGACCAAAGCAAATAAGGACTGTTTCAAAACATCCACTTCATATCAGTTATTTGACTATCTATCTGTTCCACAGTGGTGTCAGAGACATAAATGGATAAAATTTGATACACAATAAAAAATTATCAAAGATATCATTTTAAATAAAAATATTTCAAAAGGATATCTGTTCTGTGGTTCTGAATCGAGTTCAAAAAAGAACAGAGCAGAAGAGTGGCTAAGAGCTTTAGAAATTCACAGATCTATTACTACATATACTCTCAGGGACAATTCTGAGGAACAGCTATATGAGAACACCTGTAACAGCGGTTACGTTAATTCTTGATAACAGTTATAGTCCCTTTCACCTGCAATTTGGGTTTTCTTAAAAACTTGTAAGTCAATCACTGCACTCACAAGGGAGGTCTGTCCTATAACTCAATTTGCTGAACAAGAGAAAAATATGTCATCTGATATATGGTAGTAAAAAGAAGAGAAATATAATTGAAGGATGTACTTACTCTTTGAGGTACTTGATATTTATACAACAACTTTGATCAACTTAGAATAGCTGAACATCTGAACAAGGAATAGAAATGATCTGGGCCTAAGAAAACAGGAAAAATGCCCCAAATTAGTACAATACTTCTTTAAAGCTTTATTTGGATTCACATGGGATAAAAATAATTAGCAATCATATAAAACCAATGAAATGCTATATCAAAAAAAGGTAGCTAGGAAATTTATTTTTTAAGGCAGTTTATCCCTGTGGCCAAGAGTATTCAATTAAAAAATATATATAAATATATACACACACACACACACAATACACACAAACATTGTCATGCTTTATAGAAGAGAAGGCCCAGAAGACAATACCCCAAAATATGGTATGCTGGCATATTGTACATTTCAAGCTGAAGGGATTTGAGAAACAGCATAAGGAAGAAGGGCTTTCTGACCTTACCCAGAAGCAGATCATTAAACCCTCATGTGTGGGCTACCCTTCCTGCACCAGAACGTTGGGAGGAATCTGAATGAACAGACCTTCCTGTTTCCCCCAGTTTACTACACGTTGCTCCTACGTTTGATAGTATCACATTTTCCCAAGACTTTCCACTTTTCATCAAAACCAGCATAAAAATGCTCAAGTTTAATCACTTTTTTGGTCTTCACTTCTGTATGAAGGCTCCCATGTCAAATAGCACACATTAAATAATGCTGTATGCTTTTTAAAAAAAATAAATAAATTAAAAGGCAGTTTATTATTAAATTCACATTATATGTAACATAAAGAAGAAAAATTAACTCTATGAGAAGTAGAGAAAAAAGGATTAAAATATCACTTCATTGTCTTGGCAATAAATTATCAACATTTGATGAATTTTCAAATCATTTTTATAACTATAGTGAAAGAATAAAGGGGGCTGAGGAAACACTCTGCATTTAGTTGTCTGGAAAGTAAAAAAAAAATTTTCTTTTATACCTTTTAGTGAATACCGCAAAACTAGGCAAAGCTGATCTTCGTTTTGCATGCTAAAATTTGCAACTAGAATTTTTTTTGAGCTTACAATTCCACCAATGGCTCAACCTGCTTTTTAAATGTTTTCATACATCTTTTTTAAGCATCAGCAACTTCCTCTTCAAATACTATTTATCTCAATAGGTAGGATGAGGATGAAAACTTGTAAACGCCGGGACATTTCCTGGATCAAGGTGTTCATCACTAACCCTATTATGATCATTACACAGAATGTTGTCCGACGCAGTCTGCACCTAAGAGACTGCAATCAAATTACATTAATGTTCTAAATGTATGTTTCTTGAGTTGGTATCAAGCATAAGCGCTCATTCTAAAATTAGGTGAAATCACTTTACAATTAAAAACACACCCTAGGATCCCCGAGCAATTATTTTAAGTGCGGTCACCAAGGAAAGCAAACCAAGCTTCCAGAGCCAGCCGCACGCCCCTACCCCTCTCTCCCTCCCTCCGAGCTGAGTCCTTAGCAGCACCGGAGCTGGCAGAAAGACGAGGGGGGGGGGGTCTCTCCCTCAGTTAGAGCCAATGGAGAGACCGCCACTGTGACTGCCGAACGCTCTCAGAACAAGCCCTTGCCTGCAACAGTGAGTGGGTTTGAACAGCGGGCAGGTCATCATTACACAACCACCAGCAGCTGATGATTCTGAAATAGCAACTTGCAGTTGCTCCGAGCACACCCAGCCAGCCATGCCGCAAGCCCAGGGCTGCTCCCGCAAGACACTCCGACATTTCCATACATTTTGTGTACAAAATAAATTTTTAAAGCTTTATCAAATACCTCTCCTCGCTTAATTTTCATGCTCACCGATGTGGTCAGCATTCTTCGATGTCCCTGATTCCCTTCGAGTTACCTGTTTTACACAATATCCTCAACTATTTCTGCAAAAGACCCAGGAATCGGAACATTCTCCACCACACCTACCTGCTTCTCACATCCAAGGCATTTTACTTGCCCACAGCGAGGAGCCTCTCAAAGAATCTCCCTCTCAGTTTCCCAGGAAGTGCGTTCTTCGCGAATGGTCCCGGAGGCTTCTGGGAGCCGACTCAGGTTCTCCCGAAGTCTAAGCGGAAATCCCTGGGTAACTAGGAGACTACAATTCCCAGAAATCACTGGGCCGCCGGTCCCGGCAACATCCTGCGGTCACCTGCCCCGCCTTTCTTCCAATTCCTCTTCTTCCTCTTGCACCTTCAGTTCCGTCCAAGTCTGAGTTACAGGTCTTTAAAAAAAAAAAAAAAATTCCAACAGAAAAAGACTAAAAATAGTTTTGAATTGGATATTCCCAACTAAATGTGATTTGTCTATAAAGTTGGTTAGCAAAAAATCCTTAAATATGTTTTCCTCTTCAAATGATTTTACCAAGGCACGAAGTGGTAAAGAGGTCAAACTCTATAATTTATTTTGAAAATGTTCAGAGGTACAGAGAATTTGAACAGTACAACAAACAGCCATAGACTTACCTTCTATGTTCAACAATTATCAACATTTGCCACATTTATCTCACCTCCATTTATTGTAATTACTAGAGAGTAGTAGGCATCATGACATTTCAGCATCCTTTAAATTTTTAAAAACACATATTTAACTGCCTAAGTTTATATGGGGCTCTGCTATTGTACATATTAGTTGGGTGGCCATAGGCAATTTCCTTTTCTCTGAGTTTATCTGTAAAATGAGAATAAGATTACCGGCATCATAGGGTTGTCTTGAAAATTAAGAGACTTGCCCTGGCCCCACAGGTTATTCTGCTGGAGCACCGTCCTGTACACCGAAGAAAAGTTTGTGGTTGGACTCCTGGTCAGGGCACATACTTAAGTTGCAGGTTTGATCCCCATCAGGGCATGTGCATGAGGCAACCCATCAATCTCTCTCTCTCTCTCTCTCTCTCTCTCTCTCTCTCTCTCTCTCTCAATAAAAGGAATGAAAAAATGTCTTTGGGTGAGGATAAAATTAAATAAAAGGCTGAAGTGTCACGATGCCTACTACTTTCAAAGAATCACACACGCACAGAAATGGAGATAAAGTAATGTGGCAAATGTTATGAGACTCTTTAAGGCATGAGGCAAAACAAATTCACTGCAATATACCATCATCAAACTTCTACAAAGATTCCCATTTCATTACTACATAAGTTTCTTATTGTTGCTGCAAAAAATTACCACAAATTCAGTGGCTTAAAATACCATAAATTTATTACCTTACACTTCTGGGATAGGTCTCACCAGGCTAAAATCAAGGTGTCCACAGGGCTGCATTTTTTCCAGAGGCTCCAGGGGAGAATCAATTTCCTTACCTTTTCCAGTTTCCTGAGGATTCCTGTATTCCTTGGCTTGTGGCCCCTTCCATCTTCAATCCCTGCTATAGCTGTTTGAGTCTTTCAACATGTAAGTCCCATCACTCTGATGTTCTTCTGCCTCCCTCTTTAATCTTTTAAGAATCTTTCTGATTACATTTGACCCATCCAAACCACCCAGAATTATTTCTTTATTTTTATAGTCATCTGACTAGCAACCTTAATCCCTCCTACCCATGTGCAAAACATAGTCACAAATTCTAGAGATGAGGATGAGGAAGTCTTAGGGGACCATTATTCTGCCTTCCACAGTTTGCAACCTCTTTCTAATTGAATCCACAGGCCTCTTTTTGGTCCTAATTCTATTCCACCCACCCTGCCCTCCACCCCCGTTACTGTCCACATTGCACAATTCTAAATGCCTCTTTTTTTACCCTAAACTCTTCTTTCTTGGAGGTGAAAACATCAATATTTTCACTTCTCTTTGAGTGTTTCTGATTATTTCCCTATCTGTTGCGTTCACTTCTTTCTCTCCATTCCCCAGTTATCAAAAGTCTCTTTCCTGGGCCCCATCAATAAAAAACTTCCTCAGAGGGCAATCTGTTTTCTGTCTTCCCAAATTCACATCTCTGGCCAAGACTTTCCATAACTTTAATACTTACCAGCTCATATGGTGCACTCCTATTACTTCAACTTCAGCATTTTCCAAATATAAATTAATCATAGTACACTTATGTCTTCCATTATCTCCTATTTTGTCAATGGCTTCTTATGTTCTTCTTCATTTATTGTCTTCTTTCTTATCTTCTTTGATATTTTCTTCATACATTTTCACTCAAATTAGGAATCACATTCTCTACTTCATTTGAAATATGCACTTGCCACTTATTCACTGCTTTACTTGTTCGCTGTCTGTATGTCTGATACTGTGAAAGGCCAAAACTCAAAATGCCAGAGCTTGGATTAAGGAAAAATGTATTGATCAAGAAAGTGCCTCTCTCTCTCCCCGGCAACGGCCTGCCTGCTGCTCCGACCCCTGCTGCTCCGACCCCCTGCTGCTGCTTCGATTATGCGAAGTCCTTTGACCAGGGCCCTGGCTCCTCATTTCAGCTGGGTTTATGCCAAAAATGTAAAATTTGGTGCAGATGCCCAAGCGTTAATGCCTCAAGGTGTAGACCCTTTAGCCAATGCTGTGGCCGTTACTATGGGGCCAAAGGGAAGAACAGCGATTACCAAACAGAGCTGGGGAAGTCCCAAAATAGCAAAAGGTGGTGTGACCATTGCAAAGTCCATTGACTTAAAAGATAAATACAAAAATATTGGTGCTAAACTTGCATGGACTTACTTAAGATGTCGCCAATAATACAAAGGAATAAGCCAGTGATGGCACCACCATTGCTACTGTACTGGCACGCGCTATTGCCAAGGAGGGCTTTCAAGGTGCTAATCCAGTGGAAATCAGGAGAGGTGTGACGGTAGCTGTTGATGCTATAACTTCTGAACTTAAGAAGCAGTTCAAACCTGAAGAAATTGCTCAGGTTGCTACAATTTCTGCTAATGGAGACAAGGAAATTGGCAACATAATTTCTGACACAATGAAAAAGTTTGAAAGAAAAGGCATCATCACAGCAAAGGAAAGAAAAACACTGAATGATGAATTAGCAATTATTGAAGGCATGAAGTTTGACTGAGGTTATATTTCTCCATACTTTATTAATATAGCACAAGGTCAGAAATGTGAATTCCAAGATGCCGATGTTCTATTGAGTGAAAAGAAAATTTCTTGTGTTCAGTCCATTGTACCTGCTTTTGAAATTGCCAGTTGTCACCATAAGCCCTTGGTCCTAATTGCTGAAGATGTTGATGGAGAAGCTCTCAGTACACTTGTTCTGAATGGGCTAAAAGTTGCTCTTCAGGTTGTAGCAGTTGAAGCTCCAGGTTCTGGTGACAATAGAAAGAACCACCTTAAAGACATGGCTACTGCTACTGGTGGTGTAGTGTTGGAGAAGAAGGATTGACTCTAAGTCTTGAAGATGTTCAGGCTCATGACTTAGGAGAGGGCATTGCTGGAGAGGGCATTGTGACAAAAGATGGGGCCGTGCTCTTGAAAGGAAAAGGTAACAAGGCTCAAATTGAAAAATGTATTCAAGAAATCATTGAGCAGTTAGATACCACAACTAGTCAATATGAAAAGGAAAAACTCCCAGATGGAGTAGCTGTGCTGGAGGATGATGGGACAAGAGATGTCAAAGTGAATGAAAAGAAGGACAGAGCAACAGATGCCCTCGATGCTACACAAGCTGCTGTTGAGAGGGCACTGCTCTGGGAGGGGGCTGTGTCCTGCTTCGGTGCCTTCCAGCCTTGGACTCACTAACTCCAGCTAAGGAAGATCAGAAAATGGGTATAAAAATTATTTTAAAAGCACTCAAAATTCCTGCAAAGACCATTGCTACGAATATAGGTGTTGAGAACTATTGATAGTTGAGAAAATTATGCAAAGTTCTTCAGAAGTTGATTATGACACTATTCTTGGAGATTGTGTGAATATGGTGGAAAAAGGAATCATTGATCCAACTAAGGCTGTAAGAGCTGCTGGAGTGGTCTCTCTGTTACCAACAGCAGCAGCTGTAGTCACAGAAATTCCTAAAGAAGAGAAAAGTCCTGGAATGGGAGGGGGTGTGGGAGGTGGCGTGTTCTAACCCTGGAACAGTGCTTTCCCATATTAGTGAGGACTGTGAGAGGAAGCTCAAGGCAGTGCTCCTCACCTATAACTTCAGAGAAGTCAGCTGAAGGAGAGGACGGAAGAAAAGGCTGGCTGATGTTTAAGGAAATCACGATAACCATCAGTTACTTGTTTCCGTTGACAACATACAGTGGTTTACCACTGTCATTGTCCATGGTTACAGATAACTTATTTTGTATTTTTGAGTAAAAATACATTGGTACATTCCTGATAATTAAGTGCAATAGCCATGTACCAATGTACTCCTTTCAACTTAAATCACTGAGGTATTTTTTACTACTATTCTGTGAAAATCAGGATTTTAGTGCTTGCCATCACCTGATGAGAAGTTAAGCAGCCTTTCTGTAGGGAGTAAGAATAATTGTGTACAAAGTAGAGAAATATCCAATTATGTGATCTTTGTGTAATAAAAATTTGTTTACAGTTAAAAAAAAAAAGAAGAAGAAGAAGATACCAGCTGAAAAGATGGGAGTGCCAGCAGTTTCTCAAATTCATCTTTTAAAAAGTAGAGTTTAGGCTTCTGTTAAACCAATTGAAGAGAAAATAGGAGGGGTTGTTTTTGTAAAAACTCAAGCCCCAAGCAGAATTCCTCTAATGATTAGCATGACTAAAGCAGGAGCTATTGGCCTGACGGTCTTGGGAACTAGGCAGGCTGGAGTAAAATGGAGTAAGATGGATTAAGAGACCCAGCATTTCACCATTACAAATACAAAAAATTGATCTCTTCACATTAAAACACATGCAACAATTTCCTTACATATATATTTATGTGAGTCCAAAAATAATAATGTTGTACTTGGGACCTTGCTTTCCCCAGGCCACAATATCTTGAGCTCTCTCTTTCCAACCTGGGCCTCGCATAATGGCCCCCTGCCGAGAAGGGTGGTGAGAAGGGCCATCAAGGAGGCAGTGACCAGAGGGTACACCACTGACATCCACAAGTAGATCCATGGAGTGGGCTTCAAGAAACGCTCCCCTCAGGCACTCACAGAGATCCGGAAACTTG